CGCCGAGGGAAGATGATACGCTCTAATCTCGTACCGGCCTCTCGGAAAGGCGAGCACCTGCGCCAGTTTCCCTCCTTCGAGACACCGCTCGCGGGAGGTCCAAAGGCGCATCCTTCAATTACGCTCGTGTAATTTTAATCTTTCCGTTTCTAATCGCCGCGTACATCGTTTGGTTTCTAAATAATATAATTCCAGTTTCGGAATTGTTAAATACTTCTATGATAAACTGGCTCATAGAGACTTAAAACTTTGCTAACAAAATCTACATTTTTAAATCTGCAAATCTGATCGTTTCACAAGCGTCCGAATGAGAGATAAATGCAATAATATAAAATACCCCTTTTCCATTTAAGACAGAATTTTTACAGCTGAGAGACAATCATCCTGCCTTTTCCGGAGCGTACAACGCAGCTGTGCCGAGGCGGATTAATGGATACACACGGTCGTCATCATGACGCGGACGGACGTTGTGCTGTACGTTCGCGGCGGAAAAATAAAAAGGAGAACGTAAAAGAGGGGAAAGAGGGGAGGGAGGATCGTATGCGCGTCTTCACGGGCAGACTTCTCGTCGGGAGGATGCACAGCGATAATTGGCGATGCCTTTAAGCATCGCTATATAGCTCCGGGTGTACCTATTATACCTACCGCGGCGCGTGCATTATGACGAATGAACGTGCACACGAGGAGGACTCGTCCGTCGGTCCTCCTCTGTTTCGTTCTCTACCACCATCGTTGCATGAATCGTGGGTATGAGTCTGCTTTTCTATTGTACACATAGGGTTACGTCTAAGTGGTTACACGGACATGTTGGCACACTGTGCTCGACAATGTGCAGAAATGAAAACTAAAAGTTCGCTGTTCCAATAGTATTCGTTTTTAGAATTTTTATTTTCAACTAATAACTGATCCTTCTAATAATGGGCGATGTGTAGACTCTTATCATCAGTTTTCCCCACGTGTTTGAAAAACGCCGCGAACGACAAGTCAAGGATTTTTATTTCCTTTCTTGAGGTCTGAAGATCTTCACGATTGCATTATATCGCGATTTTATTACTGGCGGAGAAACTGATTTATTCTCCAACAATCTGCAGCACAAATAATGCACAATAATCCTGCAAACTGTTAACACAATGCGGCAGTGTGTTTGGTGTCAAAGGTTAAATGCCATCGATCGTCATCGTGGCTTCATCATAATGTCTAACCGACTTCTCACTTTGAAGTCGAGCGGTATCGCCCTGAAACCATCTGAAACCTGCGACTCTCGAGGTAGAATTTCAAAAGGACGGCTCTTCCGGGTGGAACTACTATTACTTCGGACCCAAAGGGTTAGACGTACCGCAAGAAACAGACCTCCGCGCGCGGCGATGCTGGGCAAATGCTTCCTCGTCCCATCGCGATCTCCATTTCCCCGGGCAAAAAAGCGGCCGCGCGCAACAGCGGCGGACCACAGACGTTTTCTACAAGGTATGCTAAGCTAAGCGCAAGAAGCGGCGACGGCGGCGGCCGCGGTCGGTCTCTCGGACAATCTCGAAGGTGGAAGGAAGCGGCGAGGCAGCGAGCAGCGGCCAGCTAGGCGTGAGTCATCGAGGCGAGACAAGATCTCGGGTAAGGAGGCGGCCTTGATGCCGCGAAACTGTACGCGATATCGGAACGCCGGCTCCGATCGTCGTCACGTCGCGCACCGGTGGACTATAAGCCGCTCCAAGGAGGGAGCTTAGGGTAAACCGAAGCACTATATACGGTGTTCAGGGTATATACCGGAAATCTTTCAACGGTAGGCTCCTAATACTTCGCACTTTGCTAGCGACATGAAAAGTATCTTCCTAATTAATCCTTAGCCGCGGACACGCGCACACAATGTACGCATTCGTTCTAGGTTCGGAAATTTCGTAATAAATAATTGGCCAAAACCCCACTCATTATTATTCCGTAATCATTATGTATTATTATGCTGATTTATATAGAAATAATTAACGTGTATTGTAGTAGTGCGTTTCGATGTTGCATATTGATAATTTCATAAAAGCGATGTAACATGCCATAGTTAAATGAATTAACATCTTGTCGCGCATTGTTAATGTCTCTATTAATATTAATACTCTATTGATATTAAACACCTTTAGTAGATAATTCCGTTAATTGTATTTGTAAACTATTTATCAATAAATAGTCATATAATTTGAGCATCTTATAAGTTTCTGATGTGGAAGGATATTATAATTAAATCTTATTATTAATAATTTTAAAACACGTTAATTTGAAATTGCTGGCACTAAAATATCAATGGGAAAAGAATTAATTTTTGATTCGAAAGAAAAGTTGCAAATAATTTTAGAATTTTCTTGGAAATTCACAAACGCTAACACAAATTATTTGTTGCAAGAAGAACATTAGGTGCGACGTTTCTGATGTCATAATTTTATATAGCTGCAATGCCTGATCTGCAGCCTTAACAAGCACGATAGCAATCTTTAACATGAAAATGCAAAACTTGAAGGCGATGTTGCCATAATCGTATTCGAAGCATGTTGACGCGCGTGCTATACCGAAACGTAAGTGTCTCCGGACGAGTTCACTGGCCTGCACGACCGATCGCGATCAATTAAAACGGCAAACCTGCTCGGAAATGCGCAATGTTACGTCGCTCTGTTGACAACGACGTCTTCATTCCGATCACGCATATTACAAGAGTGCGCGTGCGTATTAAAAGGCGCGCATGCAAACATCAAAACATGCGCTGCGTAAAAACTGGAAAAACCGCATGAAATTTGGCCGAGTTGAACAACAGTTTGTCGACAGTATTATCTAGAATCTTTTCAGTTTTTTTTTTAATTATCTTTCAATAATATAAACATTTAGAATTTAACACAGAAAAGTAGAAGAAAACTTTCAAAGTTAAAATAGTCTCGCATGATTAACTTTCATCAATAAGTTGTAATTAATTAATATCACCGTTGTCTACGACTCGATTCGACAAGACTCGTGGTTGATAAACTATTAATCTTCCTTTCGTTTGTATGTAAGTTAAAATATTGAAAAATGCGCTAATAAATTCACAACAATTTCAAGCAAAATCTCAACCTCGGATGATACCATTTTCGATTCTGCGACGCTTAATCTAACTGTGTCGCGAACTTCATTCTATCTTTGTAATTAATTAATTTGGCGCGATTTAGTCTGAATTGGACTAAAATGTCCTTGCAAATCGCGCGCAACAATAGAGAAATAGCCTCAGCCTTGCGCACCGATGCGATATATCTCGGAAAACACCTGCGTTTTAGCGGCCTAGGGCGGCAGACAATTGTTTGTCGCCGGCCTTCCGCGGCTCATTGCGAAATCGTCATCATTTCCAGTGCTAAGTACGATCGCTACGATAACGACGAGGCGGTAGCTATTAGCGGCTCTCTCTTCGTGTCGCTACATTTATAATGCGTGCATAAATAATATATCGTGAGCTTATCTGACATCGATAGATTCAGAGAAAAGAGAATGGAGGTTTTCCATTCAAAAGTTTCATTGTGTAATAATTCAGCAAATATTCACAGTGTAGATAAAAAATAATTTGACTGAAGCTTGAATATAATGAATGATAAATAAAAATTAAAATTTACACCGCAGTTTTCGAAAAATTACTAAATAATACAGATTTTTAATTTTCCTAGAATTATTTATATAATTGGAATATAATTTTTTTCACGAATATAAGTAATCATGCCGGTATTTTTTATATATTACATTTTGATGTCTCAGAAGTAATTTTTGACATCTCTCTCGGTTGATGCGCCACCCGTGGTGCAAGAAAAAAACCGTAAGACGCGAGAGAAAGACGTAAGGAAAAAGCGGGCGTTACCAAAGAAAGACCCGTTGTCGCCGATAAAATCAACCAAATGGAAAAATCGGACACGGATGGGCTCATTACCGATTCGGCATGTGAATTGCTCAATTTGCAGCTATAAAAGCGTGAACAAACTCACCTGGTGCAAGCACGAGGAGAGAAGACAAGAAAGCATTGGATTCATTGGGACAATCATTGAGAAAATTATGATATCGTATTATTCAGCATACCTCAATTATAATGATTTGTTGAAAGCTTTTCTAATGTAACTAAGATTAGGCATCGGCAATTTTTTATTATGTTTAATCTGCTATGGCACTGATTTTTATATTAAATAATATTGCAAAAGATACTTAAAAAATTTCCGATTTTTTAAAATATATATGTAAAAACTTGAGAAATTTAAATTTTTTGCAAATAAAATAAATACAAAGTATAAGATTAATTGTAAAAAATACATAAATTTGTTGAAAAATCAGTCACTCAATTAATTTGATTGGTAGCTCACTCCTTAGTTCATTTATAAAACTTTATTCAGAACGCATGGCAGTTACTCAATCGATATTGCAGCATTTTTAAATAGAAGAAAGAACGAAATACTAGTCATTCCTAAAACACTTTTAGCACTTATAGTTATAAAAAATTGATATTCATAAAATATCAAAATCTATTAATTTTACATCATAAAAAATTTTTATAAAGTCAATAAAAAAGAAATACAACTTCTCTCGACATATACTTATGTTAAAAAATAATATAGTATACTATTTTAATCATATAGTAATCTCTCTATCGATAAAATAATTATCAATAAAATGACTTATGGATGTAGTAACATCATTAAGAAATTTAATCATTTGATTCAATTAATAAATTATTTTGATTGTCGAGAATCTGTACATAAAACAATGTTATACAATAAAAATAAAATTCATAAAAATCAGTCGATTGTGAAAGGATAAACAAAGTAAAAGTTTTTTAATTATCGGAATCTCAATAAAAAAATAGTGAGCATTATGTCGATGAAAAAGAAATCGACTTTTATACTCAATACTTAACGCAGTGATTTAGTTGAAAATATAGTGAGAGAATCTTTTACCTTTCATATAATATCAATTCCTTCTATATAATAGAATATAGTAAATACACTATGGAAACCACTTACCTCTCTCGAAGATCTTCACTGAAGAAGCAGCATACATGCGTTGTTTTGTGTAGCAAAGTATCTTTGTGCATATATTAGAGATGCAAATATATCTTCCATTCCTTTCGATTCGTTGTCCGCATATTATGTGTGCCATGTATGTGCGTCTTCTGAAATAAATTATATCATAATTATGCACATGGAAAATATGAAAACTTATAAAAGACTGATTAAAAGAGTAAAAAAAAAAATTTTTTATTTTTATGCCATACTTTCCAGACAACATGCATGTCTTAAAGACATTTGAAAGACATGCAAAATACACAAAATTTTGTCTTTTAGACGTCTTTCAAATGTCTTTAAGCATACGTATTGTCTGGGTTCATGAACAGCATACTTAGAATTTCACGGAATCCACTCTTAAAAAAGGCATGAAAGATCGATACTCAAATGTATCGAAAGTATTGTTGACGCTTTTCCGCGATGCTGGTTATCGCGATTATTCTGACAGTTTGACACTTTGAGAGCAAAGGTTATTTTGACGGTTATTTAAAATAAAAAAAATTGTATTAATATATTTAGATTTCATAATTATTAAATTACTATAATAAGTGCGCGCGCGTAACGCGCGCCTGTATTGTTCTAATTATGATAAAATTATGATAATCGCGTATTTTTCGTTTGTTTTTTTTGCATCGTTAATTGAATTGCAAAATATCGCATGTAAAAATTTTTCCGTTACAAGATCGTTCATCGATAGTATAGCAGCAGTACTGCAATAATATTTTTGAGGTTAAAATTTGTTGAATTGTGTTGCTCAACTCAATTCAGTGATTCAAATATTTTATGTATGCTAATTTCGTAGCGACAAGGATTTTTTCTTGGAATCTCATAAAATATAACAATACAAGATATTTTTAAATAATAAATTACCAAATAACAGAGGATGTTCATCAGTTGACCCAACAATTTCGCGCGAATAAACACTACTGCTTGAATACAGTGATTTTTAACAATTTTGTAATATACGCATGCGCACTTGTATCAATTGATTTATATTTTAACAATTAAAGTCAATTTTTTGCAATTAAAACAATAAAAATAGAATTACATTATATTGTTAAAAATAGAATACTTTTTTTGAATTAATGTGATAAATTTTTATTAAAACTTAAATTATTTAAATATATTTCTTTCTCTTTAAAAATAAATAAAATTGTTGAAATATTTGACTACATGAAATTATATTCAATTATGTTTAGAGTTCATATAAATCTAACAATACTAAAAAAAATTTGTTATTATGTTAAACATCTTAATTAAGAATAAATTTTATCAAAGGAAATTAGATACATAAGAATTAATGATTGTATTACGTGATTCCTGTGTAACACTTTATTCATAGTAAATACATATAATATTTGTAATTACATATAATCACATATTTCTCATTCATCAATATTATTATACACACATATATCAAACATACACTTTTTTATTTTGTCAGTATAATCTTTCTAAACATATTACAAATTATCTTATTTAAAAAAAAAATAGTATAAAAATGATGTATGTAAATCTATGTTACCATTGATCTATGTAAGTGGAAAAATCTTGTTCATTGGCACGTGAGTGAAAATTTGATTACTGATTTTAAAGAAGGCCCTAGCAAAAGCTTCCTCAAGAAACGGTACAAATTCCCCGAAGAGATACATGCTGTTGTCATTGACGAATTTGTTTATATTATTACCTATAATTAGTAAGATATAGAAGAATTAATACTTATATAATTTATAGGATTTTATAAAATTAATATTTATATAATTTTCTTTTTTGAAAAATTTCACTTTTGTTCAATATAAAGCTGTAAACTTGCATGCTTTTCAAGTATAATTTCAAATATTTTTTAGAATTTAAATAATAAGCAATAATAATTTATAAATAAGAGCTTAAATATGCTATACATTTTTTAATAATTTTTTTTATAAAACTAATTTTTGTAACTCTAAGATATTTTGTTTCACTTTATATTTCCAAACTATAAAATTTATTATTAGGTATACCTAAAGCTTCATTTCCATCAAAGAGATTATCGTAATGTAGTGTTACACGTTTGTAAAAAGTCTTTATAAAATATTTGTTCACTCTTATGTAAGACTCTCTGTTCTTTTCAAACGTTTTGAAATATATTTCGTGATGTGTCGTTACATTATCTGAAAATAGCAAAATCAATTACTTTGCATATCAAATAGTTGTCATTAAATCGTTAATTATAAGACAAATAATAATATACAATTTATAAAAATACATTATCATACTTACATACAGACATTTTAAACTTTCCGTTTCCATAGACTGGCACTACCAGAATTTTGCCTTGAACTTTATAATCGCCTAAGAAACTTATTTCCTCGTGGAAAACGTAAAACTTCATAACTGAATTATCCCAATCAATTCTAAAAACAAAAATAAATTATATTATAATTATGATCATATAATCAATATAATCATATATATATAATTCGATACGTATTTGTGTAACATTATCAATACTAGTAATATATTCTTTAATATCATTCTTTAAAACCAAATTAAAAATAATGTTTTTACAATAATCGATATTAGTAATTAGGAGTTTCTAAATAAATTAGCTGTGTTTGTAATTATTTATTTGTAATCATTTAGTTTCTGTGACATTAGTCGCTTCGATTCGATATTTTGATTTGAACTTAAGACTCGTTTGTTGTGGATATTTTCCTTATTTTTAAACAAAATATTTGTTTAAAACATATTAGAACTATTAAAGTGTATGTTGATTTTATTTTGGAATAGTTACAGAATAGTTATTTTACTTTGGAATAGTTATGGAAAATATAAAATACTTACTGAAAATCATGTAATTCAAATCTTTTTGTTAATCCATATAACTTGCCATTTTGATATTCTTGTGTCATTTGTACTGGGCCATGGGTTCCATTTATTTTAAACTCAAACTTCATTTGTTCAAGAGGTTCAATTTTCAAGCTCTCCAGACCTAAACGCGAACAGATATTTAATATACAAATTTAATATGCATGATTTACATTAAAATGATATTCAGGAAATTTTATAAGAAACAAATTCATCAGAAATTATTTAAATAAATTGTATCTTATGCTTATTCGCTTATAGCGTCACGCACAATTTTTGTATTATTTTTTAACGTGAATAATCATAAGTATAATTGTTACACCTACATTTTACATTACATCTATGATTTATATATTATCTTTTTAAATGTTTCACAAAAATATATCTTACAAATGTTAGTTTGTATAATTTATAATGTAATGTGACTACAATTGTCAATAAACTTTTAGATATACTCTATTGATAACACTATACTTAATAAAAACTGAAATATACAAACTTGTAGCGATTTAAATATTAACTTTTTTAAATTTCTAGTATTAAATATGATTTAAAATAATGTGTATTTACCATCAGCCAGAAAGATGATTGCTTCTTTGACAACATTCGTGAGGCACTGTGACATATTTGGATCCGATCGTTTGCAAGTTTTAAAATTGCTTGCTATAAGATAAAAAAAGAAAAAAATAACAAATTATTAGCAAAAATTATTACATAATTGATCGTTGTAAATCCAAGATCTGCATCCACTCAATTTTAAAATTATTTTTCTTATACTTAATCTTATAATCTTCCCTTAAGAAAATTTACTCTTTAAAATTAAAAAAAAATAACTTAAGAAAACTTTTTGATTTACTATACAACTTTTTAAAAGTTTTGAAGAGTAAATTTGAACACTTCAAAATAGGATTTACTCTTCAAAAACTTTTAAAAATTTCTTTAATAAATAAAAAAGTGTTCTTAAATTATTTTTTTTAAGTTTTATATAGTAAATTTTCCTAATATTAATATTAATGAATACAAATGTGTAATGCAGAAGTAATAAACAAGGAAAAAGAATTTGCATTTAACCTGCAGTAATACAAAAGTAATAAACAAAAAAAAAAAAGAATTTGCATTTAACCTGCAGTAATACAAAAGTAATAAACAAGGAAAAAGAATTTGCATTTAACCAGCAGGTTAATTGCAAATTCTTTTTCCTTATTTACTTTTGTATTACACATCTGTTTATGCTAATAAATGTGCAATGTGAATCATTTGTGTTCCGCATTCAATTCGCTGAGCATTGTAATATTTATAACTTTAAGTCTTACAATTAGATGATTTCAAGGACCAAAACTTAAAAAACTTTGAGGCCTTGAAATTACTTTACACAAACTTTTACTTACTTTTACGCCAACTTTAAGTTACTAAACACCATCATTAAGTTACTTCACACAAACTTTTAGATACTTTTTATGAACTTTATGTCTTCAATAACTAAAGAAGCAAAAAATTCAAGGATATTTTTAAAACT